CAAAGGTCTCAGATCTAAGTGTTAATTTAAAGATATTTGTAATTAGGGGTGTAAATAATAATCGTTTTGTATCGATGCATCGATCCAAAAGCCGACGATCCGATGCATCGACACGTCCGCAAGATAATCGATTCATGTTTTTTTTTTCTCCGGTCTATTTTTATCCATTTGCTCCTGGGCGTTATTCTCCCTCCCGTGCTGCGGTGCCGCTAAACCTATTTTGCCCTCCTACCGCGCTTCCTGGTTATACTCTTACAGCAGTGTGTTGCAGGAAGCTTCACACAGACATTTTTAAATTATGCTCAGTATTGAAGCGTGGTCTGAGCTACACACTGTGGGTCTAGATACGGCCAAGGCAATGAGGAAGTGGGGGCGAGTTTAGTCCGACGACGGAGGGACATGAGGGAAAAAAGAGCGGAGATTCAGCTGGAAAAAGGCTCCCAGCGTTCTCGCGCACCTCGCTCTTCTAGCGGGTCAAACTTCACGAGTTGTTTTCAGCAATTTCGGTCATAAAAACAAAACAAGCCGGCCTCCTGTCTGCTGCACTGTTTGCGGTCAGCTACAATCTGGGAGAGGTGCAGCGGAGCGTCTCTCAAGGGGCGGTGACGTCGTCACTTCTTCTTCTTTTTTTTTAATGGCAGTTGGCAAACAACTTATAGGTGCATTACCGCCACCTTCCAGAATGGAGTATGGACCAGACAAACTATTATATTCTCCCTAAAATACCTGTTCTTCTTAGAAATTTAAAAATACTACCAAAAACTACATCCCCAGATGACCTTTGAAACAATTCCCTTATATGTAGTTTATTTTTATTTCTGTCTAACTCTCTACGCAACATCTCTCTTTCCTGAGTATATTTATTACATTCTAAAAAAAATATGTTGGACAGTTTCTCTGGAGCCGAGGTATTGCATTGAACTCATTACACTGATATTGTGCAGTATTTTTGCAGTATTTTTTGATGCAACTTTTCTACTTCTGTTATTTGCTGTTGTTTCTAAAGAAAATGCATAATGATATTACAGCTTTCATTGATTTATTTCAAACTTGAAACTTTGTTTAGCCTGTAAGGTGTAAAAAAAAAATAAAAAAAAAATTAACCAATTAATCGAATCGAATCGAATCGTGGTGTATTCTTGAGTATCGAAAATAATCGAATCGTTGGGTCAGGAAATCGATACTGAATCGAATCGCCATGATGGATGTGATTTACACCCCTATTTGTAATGCAAGAAAATTTGATATCAGCAGATGCCTGCATGTCGATTTTTTTTCTTATCCCTTCAGATGATTGTTCCATACGTCATTTAGAAAAGTTGAAGGGCTTGAGTGTTCTTGATTTTGTTAACACTTTTTTACATAAAAACTGTAAAAAAAAAATATATTATTGTTTTAACACATAATGGCTCAAAACTAATAAGTGGAAGAATAAAAAAAAACAAATATCTTAAAAGGTTGGTATTAGTATGTTTTATGAATATTATTGCATGACCCTATAAAGCTCCTTCCAACATTTTTCTCCAAAAGTTTGCTAGCATTTCGAAAACTATCTCAATGAACATACATGGAGAACAAGGGAAGGAGAGAAGTACAAAAAAGTCAGCGGAAGGGAAGCAAAAACCTAGGACTTTATCCCATTTTCCCATGATGCTGCAGAACCAATAGACATTAAATATTTTGCTAGCCCAGGGACGTTTTCGAATGAATCTTTCTGAACATATGCCATTCTCCACACCAGCCCCAGACTTGCCTCAGGCCCAGCTCTGCCTGGCTACATACAAGAGCAGCAGTTCACATTGCGATGTGAGCCCCTGGATATGTGTGCATGCATGTTGGGCATGACAGCAAGGATTCACTGGTTTATTTTCTGTTACTGAGAAGCTTTATCTTTAGCCCCAATTACTAACACTTACACATTCACACAGGAAAACACCATGGCAACAGAGACAACAGCAGCCATGGTGGCATTTGGCTTGACTGAAGTTCTGTTCCACGATGCCCTGACAGCCTTCCCTCAACCCTCTCTCAACCTTGTCACCTCTGTTGCTCTGCTGTAACTCTCACCACAATGGCCGCTGCCTGTGAACCTGCCAGGCTGCCAAGGACACAAAGATGACTGAGGCAACCTTTGACATCAGAGGCTGCCACCAAAAGACCAGAGACAAGCTGAGTTGGCAGCTCTCTTAGTGGGCTAGAGACCCAGATCTTTTCAGCCCAGTTAAAGTAGCAGGAGTCAACATAACACAAGTCAATAGTGCACACATACCAAAATGATGCCGTGTCAAACAGCAGTGTGTTTGGACAATGTTGGCCATGGCAAAAGTTTTAAAAACGGTGACCTCACTACTTTGGCTGTACTGCAGCTGTCACTTGAGTGACGGCAGTCACTGAGATGTAGAAGTCAGGAAAGGAAAGGAAAATGACATTTGAACATGAAATAAAGCAGTCATTTTGTACTGAACGCTAGATGACATTTCAAGGAGCTGATTCACTGGTAGATGCTCAGGCTGCCCACCCACACCGCTCCATGTGTAACAAGCCGTTTTCAGTTAAAGAGATGAGATAGCAACGTTAGAGATGTACTCACAGACATGGGGAGCATGTGTAAGATGACCTATACATTTACTATGATGGCAGTGAGGAGCTTTGAGGGGAATAAAATTACAAGGTATGAACCATAGTGGGGATGGAAACGGTGAATGACAGAAGAATGTATTCAACCCTTCAGACCTTTTTATATTTTGTTTGGGAGTTGTTGTGATATACCACCATACAGGAGAGACCAATTGTGGAGTGGAAGTCAAATTATATGTCATTTTCAATAGGTTTTACAACCTTTTTTATCTCCTTTAACTCGCCAGCTTGTAGAGCCAACTTTCAATACACTTACAGCTGCAGTACAGGTCTCTACCAGCTCTGTAGATTGGATGTAGAGTGTTTCTAAACAGCAATTGAATTCTGATCTGATCATTTACTGCACTATTTGGACATATAGCTATGTGGCTTAAACTAAAGCATTCCAATGTAACTCTGGCTGTAGGCACTGGGTCAGCATCTTAGAAGTTAGACCTGTTTCCTGTCCCGAATGTTCCCCAGCCAAGTTTTTTCCATGACCACTGTGCATTTAGCTATATCCATTCATATTTCCATAAGCTTTTAATAGCTTACCTTTTACTACTGAAGACACAAATACCCAAAGCAAGATGTTCCCCCATGTGTCACAGTGGGTAGAGTGTTCATAATGATGTGCAGTGTCAGCTTTTTAATTGTTTTAATGTAGATTTATTTCGCAATTTTACGATAAGTCATGGGGTGCATAACTAACATATTCTTCCAGTTAAGTTGGGGATTATTGCAGCTTGTTTAAAGTCACCATATGCCTTCAGTATATCCTGCTGTCCCTTTAAGACCTGTCTGTTTAGGTAGCCATGTATACGGGACCAGAGTAAAGTTTCATGATGAATCTTTTCAAACTAAGCATCATGTTATCTCTATTTTCCTAACATGGAGCTATTTGTGTTTATCTATTGCAGAAAGCTTAACTAAGAGCTAAAATTGTTTTGGCTGCAATGTAAAAAATTTAAGGTAAAGCAAGGAAAGTGTTTGAGATGTCTATATAGCAAATAGTGAATCAAAGCCGAGTTCATCAGGGGGCTTGGAGAAGGTATAACAGATAATGCTGCTTCCTGTTTAAGGCTTGACTCTTCCCTATGGTTTAAACTGTGTGCATATCTAAATGTGTGTTGCTCTTCAGATGACATCACAATCATCATCTCTTATCAACAGTCATGTTGGGGATTACAGCTTTCATCCCTAATCCTACATTAAGGACACATTCTCATGATAGACATGAAATCATCAAGGCCAGTGAACCGCAGAGAGGGTGCGAGGACAGGAGGCCAAACACCACAAGAGGGGATTAATACAGGAGACAGAGTGGATGATGAAAAAGATGAAGAACAAAAAAAGAAAAAAAAAACATTCTGTGAGAAATTCTCTGTGTATCTTTGTTTAAAAAAAAAAATCTTAGGATTCTGAGTGTAAATGATCATTCTAAGTCAGCTCTGATAACTTGGGCTTATGAGACTGCCTTAGATGACGCAAACAGAAATACAAACACAAACAGATATAAAAAAAAAAAAATGAATAAAAACTAAACCACTTTCTATTGCAAAGAGAAGTTAGAAGCAATAGATGCAATCAACCCAAAAATAATTCATACGCATTCTAGATTTCAATGTATTGTTATTCTATTTCAGGACATGTTTTTATTCTGGATAATAGCAAATACATAAGAAGCGCCTGACCCACTGCTATGCAATGTGCACTATTACTTATCATTTATTAAACCATTTACATAAAAGGAAAACATATTTTAATCAAATCCATAAAACCATTATTTCAAAGTCGGAGCAGCTGGGGCAGTTTAACAATTTATTGCTGTTGGTTATACTTAATGTATTTAGGATTGAAAGTCCTGCATCTTTAGTTCCACTTAGAAATCCTAAACAGATTTATAGTGACCAAGTTAAAATACAACAAAAAATGTCCATGGATGTTTATTGGTAAGACAAATATTTCAAACACACAAACTGTTTATCAAAATATTTCCACTCAACTACATTGGGAAATCCCACAAAGTCTCATATCGCTACAGGTTCTTCCATTTGATATCCAGGAAAACTATACGTAATGTCAATCTAAATCTGGTTAGCCTATCTAAAACCCTTTAAAGTTGCCATTTAAATCCCATTATTTCTGCAAAGGTGTGGTGCTAAATAGCCAACTACACTCATTAAGTTGTACATATTGTAGCACTTGTCTTCAAAGGCCACTAAATGCAACCTTGACTCACATTTACTTACAAAATCATTTTTGTTACATGTTTATAATATTGTGTTACACCAATGTCTTTAAATTGATTAGGTTTCTTACCCAGTACTTCAGTGTTTATGTTTCAAAATATGCTGTTTAGATGCAGAATATTAGATTATTACCTGCAGAAACTCGGGGGCAATCTGGAAGCATGGGCTCAAGCTGAGTGTCCAATGGCTCAGGACTCGATACCCAGTTACAGCAGTACTGTAAGAAAGAAAATAAGATAATAAAAAAATTAAAAGGTATCTGGGAAATTATTTTTTTTTTTGCTTCAGTATATTAGGATTCCATAAAGGATAGAGAACAACTTCTATAAAAAGTTTCCTAAAGGTTCAGTCTATAAATAGATATTACAGATTATACACCAAAATATATAAACACTGAAATGCGGAATCACAAATGTGACAAAATCTCATTCTGAACAGAGAAAGAAAAGTCTTGCAATGTTGCCAAAGAAGGAGAAACAACAGAGAGCAGACCAGAAGAGAAAAAGAAACAGAAATGTGCAAAAAGAAGTAGTGATGGTGTATGGACAGTGGGGGAAGAGGAGACAGAGACAAGAACAAGCAATTAAAAGCTCTGTGACATGCTGCTCAGACAGCTTGCCGTTTGTTTGCAGTGCAGAGCTGAGGTCCTCTACCATGGCTGATCAGTGGTTGCCCTGGGAGGGGAGGGTGTCTGCCCCGTTTGCTGACCCATAACCCCCTGCAAACACCCCAACTCTCCTCAAACCCCTTGTGGTTGACATCTCCACTGTCAGAAAGGGAAGGAGAGCTCTTTATCTGCTGTTGCTGTCTTCATCCATCTTGTGTATCACTCCTGGTCTATATGTGTTACCTCACACTTAGGTGATCCACCCATAAAAGGTTTGAATCTCATGTAACCTTAATAAATCATATGAATATCTTTAGTTCAAGCTCTGAGATTTTATTGACTGGGTAAGTAGATAACACATTAAACTGTGTTTACCTCTGTGTGGACCAGGATACTGGCTCATAGGGTTAGAACAAAAACAAGGGAATAAGGGAAACGAGACAGGGAGGCTGAGAAGGAATTCTTAGAGAAGACGCTCCCATAGATAAGATAAAAGTTCCACAGAAGAAAGAAAAAATGTAAAGAGATTAGAATGTGCAGCTGGCGTCCTTCTGATTCACTGCTTATCTGCCCTTGTTTACTTTCACCCTGGCCCCCTGACAGCCATTACTGTGGTTTGCGTGCATGTGTGTGCAGAAAGGTTTCTGTGTGTGGGTCAGTGACTTCATTTCGGGGGAGGGTTTCCAACAAAGACGTGTTGTGAACCCTTCAAACTCAAATACAACAATAAAAAAAAAAAAAAAGGCACACGTGCTTCTGAATTCTGCATCCCCCAAGATGATTGACAAGACAAACTAATCTGTGAGATTTCTGGTGTAATACCATCAAACTGACACACTGGTATGTAAAAAGTAGAAACATAGAGAACAAATTAAAAGAAATAAAAGAAGATTGTAAAAACATGCAGATGTTTTGAAATTGTTTAGGGTTTGGCAGAGGAAATTATAAAAATATATGTAGTTTAATCAAATAGTGTCAACAGAACTCTGTGGGTCTGCAAAAAAGTAAGACTGTTTTGAAAGTTATAGGTCTCAAGGACGGATTTAACATACCGTAAGTTCTTCTGTCAAGTAAGAAAACATTTCTACATAAAACAGCCCAAAAAGTGCAACACGTGGACAAAATGATCTGATAAAATCTACCTATATTTGTAAATCTATATTTTAAATAACTACATAATTAAGATACCTAAATGCCAAAGTTTTAATAGTATTGAATAGATGCAGTAGGAAATATTTTGCTGACAAAACCTATTATATCCATCAGCTCTTTAGGCAAAACAATCCAATCCATTCTTATAGTAACTTGGAGGATGCAAAACAAAAGAAAAGATTTCCATTTTATTATCTCACTGTTAAATGTAGCTATAATGTAAGCTTGCTTTTCTCTGTTCGGTAAAGCCTTAGTCTACTCATTTAGATTAAACTTCAAATCCAATGAAAGAATAATAAGTAAGAAATTATCTGTAAAATGAACCAAAAATGATTGTTATTTGTCACCCAGAATGGAAGTAACATCCCCTGTAAACAATCCATCTTCTCAAGCAAAGTTTTTCTCCTTTGAAGCTTAAAAAAAAAGAGAATATTTGCAATCTATAAAAGTAGCTAAAGTAAAAATGATGTTATTGAAATTAATTATCTTTCTATATTCTAGAATTGCATAATTACGTTTAGATTTAATGGAAATAATTTCGGTATTTTTTAAACAAGAAAAAAAAAAATGATCTTCACTCTGATTCATACGCTTAGTCACATAAATCAAAGAACTTTATTTGGAAAGGATACAGAAAAAGTGGAGCCACAAAGGTTGAAGAAAGATCAGTCAAGAGATTAGAGGGGAAAGAGGAAAGGCAGCTGGGGGCTTTAGTACTGAGGGAAGATGAAAAGTCATCTTGGTAAACAGTGGCATATTGTGTATTTTTAGATCTTTTCCTTTGCCCTAGATGTGCTCTCCTCTGAGTCTGAGTTTGAGGGCAAAGCAGCGCAGAGCAGCACAGAAACAGTGGGGCTTCTTGACTGCTACATCAAGTGTCTCATTGTATCTTCTTTAATTCATTCAGTTTGTCTGGAGGAAGATGTCAGCTGGGCTGTGGAGCAGTGGGCTGAAGGCGGCTGGAGAGGGAGAGAAAGGAGGGGAGTCTTTCAAAGGGCCCTCCACCATCCCTTACAACTCCACTATCACCACCAATGGAGACATGGAGGTTTGGGTCTGAATAGATTTGTCAAGGCAACAACACACATGTGCACACAAACTCTTGCATAGATACACACACACAGACGAAGCACGAACCCCCAGAGCTGTGGGAGACCACAGGCATAACAGCCTTCCCATAAAGGCAAGGCCTGCTGGCTGGGATTAGAGAAGGGCAACATGACAAACGGATGGCACATCACATCGCCTTTCCACTGCTGTATGATTTTCACATCTCAAAATGATAAAAAAAAGACCCTTGAGATTTAATTTCAAATCCAAAAATGTTGGATCGGATTAACAAGCCAAAACTTCACAAACATACCCAGGTAACCACCTGAATCTTATTCTACAGTACTGTAGACAGAAGGTATAACAGGCACATTTACATGTGCAAAACTCCTTGATCAAGTTCAAATGTGTGCTGCTTAAAAGTAGAAAGTAATTCTAATGCAACGTTTATATTGGCTCAAAATTATTATTCAATCTGGACACATGTTTACTTGTACCATTTCAGAATATAATGACTGACACACGCTGAATCGTCTTATTTCCCTAAAACAACCACAAACGAAATGTTATAATTCAGCCAATCCCCAAAACACAAAAGTGTGTTGGTTTGGACTAACTGAGCCAGCAAAAAGCTAATAAGCACCTTACAACTAACAGATATTTCTGGAAAAAATTGCTTTTACCAATATCTTTATAATCTTTATTCAATTCAAAACAGTCATCAACAAAAACTCTATATAATAACCAAAGTCTTTTTAGTCAAAGTTAGAATGACTGTTCATGTACTGTTTTATGTGGAATTAATGTGCTCTTCTAACACATGTTTATGGTATTTTTTGTTATTTCCCTAAAATTAAATTTGATAATATCAGCAAAATCTCTTATAGCCAAGTCTTGACCAACAAGAGAAATGTTTTTCTAAAATATAGAGGGCTTTTTTAAAATACTAATAACAGCTAATAAAGAATACATTGTAGACAGATAGATAGACATGGGATCAATTTTTTGTAACTGCATCAAGTAACACCAAAAGCTGATGAAAATGAAGTCTGTCTTGTCATGGCATTAACTCCTACTAGCCTTCTATCTTAAGAACCTTCAACAAATCACATCCAAAATCTACAAAAATGTTCTTCATAAAGTCAAAACAATGTGACTTTTTTAATTAGTTGCCCCCTGTTAAAATGTGGCTTAATCTAGACTAAAACTACAACAACAAAAATCTATTTTCCTCCCACTGCTTTTAGGAATTGGTGAGCTGTGGGTCTGTTTGCTCCTGAACTAGGAGCCTGTACTGTAAACAAATCAGTCCTACAATACCTGAAAATTAAATCCCGAATTTTAAAGTGCGTGTTAAAAACAAATAACAGGTTAACAAACGGATCTAAGGTGTTAGTAGGACACAGTAGTTAACCAAACTCATTTGAAAACCATCTGTATTTCACCCTCCTAATTTCATCAAGGTTTGTACTTGACATTAAAAGGTGAGAAACAGCAACCTTAGAGACAAAACTACAGAGCCCCTCCTAACGCCATCTTTAGAACAACTTTGAGTCTACGCAAATAGCGTAATTCTAACAGTAAAATGGAAAAACTGCATCTGCATGTGAGATCTGCCTGTTTTTAGATACAGTTCAGACTCACATCACCAATAACACCAAATAAAAACATGTGGCTGCCACCAACCACTGTTGATAACTGAGCACCTACATCCTCTTGGATATATCTGTTGCTAAAATCACTTCTATGCCTTACATATAAAAATGGCAATGTCAAAATTAATCACATGCAACCAATATATCAATGCAAACATTTAACATCCACTAACGATGCCTACATTGACACAAATTCGCTTAAATTCACTTGTAAAAATGTACGTTCATTCTCATATTCAGTGAGCAAACAGGAAGAGAAACAGTGCCTCAGTGCCCAAAAGTCTCAGAAACTATAACACACATGACATCCTTCAAGTAAACTATTCAGAAAAAGTCCAGCTGAACAGTTCTTGCTAACTTTCTTTGAGGCTGCTCCTCTCCCATCTCCTCCGGTTGCTGTATAATCTCTGTGGATTAGGATGCTGTATTCATACCCACAGAGATAGTCTCTCTCAGTGTATGTATGGTGTATGTATGTAAGTGTATGGATGTGTGTGTGTGTGTGCTCTGGGCAGGCCACTAGAGTGTGACAGCAGGCCAACACAGTGACAGGAGACACCTTGGAGACTGTGACAGGCTGCCAGCTGTACACCATCACCAAATTCTTTCTCACACTCACTTCTTCTCTCTTCTCATCTATCTCCTCATACATCAGTTTATTCCCTCTCCTCCATCTGAATTCACCCCATTCAGATCCTACCTGTCTTTTTGTTTTTCTTTTTCCACAGCTCTACAATTTCTCAGTGGCAGTCAACGGGATTTAAATAATTGAACATTTCTCACAATTTCTTTTCTTTTTCTGTCAGTCAATGGAGAAATGTTTCTTTCTCTGCCGTTTCTGCTATTGTTTCAACTTCACTCTGTATTTTATGCCCTTGCTGTGACGTCAGGTGTCCCTTGTCTGACCCATCTGGTCTTTGTAACCTGGCTCAGCAGGCACTGATCTCTAAATCCCTTCTTCTCTCTTCAACTCTTCTGATCGCTCCATCCCGCCATCCAACGACCTCTTGAACCCCCAACAGAGGGAATTATCTCCGTCTGAGGAGAACAGAGGCAAACCTGGCTGGGATGCCCCGACCTCACATGCACCTACTCATATGGGCACCCATATCTATGCGCCACCTACGGCGTGACTCCAATTCAATGCTAAAACCTCTCTTAGATGTGTCACGGCATGAAAGCCGTCCTCCCTGTGTGTCATTTTGTCCATATGTCTTACAAAGTAGTGCTTACATGTGGGATCCAGCTATAAACAAGCTGTTGAAACAGTACATCTGCTGTTTTTGGTTTATTTGTTCAGGATTTGCACAATAAGTGCACAAAGTGTGATTGTAAATAGATGCAGACATCAGACTTATGAGTATCCAAAGAAAAGGGTAAATATTGTGTAATCATAAAGCGCTTTAACAAGTCCGTAGACTCCAAAGCACTTCACATTACATTTAGCTATTCATCCATGACTGAAGTGAGGCTCCCACAGATCGGTAACACCAGACCTCTTGACCACCAACAGCATAAGTCCACTTTTTAAAAAAAAAGCTTATATTAGGCTTAGGATTTCTAAAGCTTAAACTCTGGATTCTAAGGCTTAAATGCCAACAACATATAGATTTTAGGAACATGATAAAACACAAATATAATTAAAAAGGGAGACGAAAAAGAACCATGTTTTTAAATGATTCAAGTTGTTGTTTAAACTAAAGGGAAGTAAAGAAGTGTTTGACCCCTTAGAGATTTCTTCTTAATTTTTTGTCACACATAAATGTTTCTGATCAATCAAATATTATCAGACTAATATTACCCGAGCATAAAAGTTCTCAAGTTAAACCAAGCCTCTTTCCTTTGTCCATTTTTAGTTAATAAATAACTGATCAATCCCATTTATTGATTCATTTTCACTTACATGCTTGATTACTATGAGACCTGTTGATTTAAAATGTGCCATAAATGGACCTTTGATAACATAAAGTGGGCTAAAAGATCCAAAAAAGCAACACATCATGCCCCAATCTACAAATTCAATAAAATATGACGCCCCAGATCTCTTTTAGCTTGGAAAGCATTGCAAAGCTATTTCTAAGGTTTTAGGAATTCAGCAGACCAGTAAGTGAAAAAATAAGAACAATGCACTGAAGTTAACCTTTCAAAAGGTGGCTGAGCCTAAAAGCACCCCAACAATTAGTGTGACTATTCTTTCAGTCCACAAAATCATCAACAAAAGCCCTCTCTGGTCTGAGCTATGATATAACACCACAATAAGAAACTGAAGAAAAAGGCTCTGAAGAAAATCCCCTCCAAAAAACAAAACAAAAACAGCGGATGCAGATATCCGAATGAACCTCGGTCATCTGTTCAACTGAATTGTATTAAGCCACTAAAATTTAGATCTCCAAGTTAAAAAGAACCAGCTTTCCTAATGTAAGCTTTTGGTCCCCACCAGGATATGAAATCAAGCAGGCATGCCTTCATCATGCACTAAGAACAGGTGCATAAAGATGAAGATGACATACAGAAACAAAAGGCCATGGATATAAAAAGAGAATGTTATACAAATACAGATTTGGTATGTGTGTGTGTGTGTGTGTGTGTGTGTGTGTGTGTGTGTGTGTGTGTGTGTGTGTGTGTGTGTGTGTGTGTGTGTGTGTGTGTGAGACAGAGGAAGAGACAGAGAGAACACATGACATTTGCATCTCCAGCAGCTTTGGTCTTGGCTATTCCTCATCTGTATGTGCATACTGAGTGAGCCCAGGTGATGCATATGGCACAGAGGTCACACCAGAAAGGGCAAATTCTCATATGAAGCCACAAATGCATGTGTGCACTTGCATTCGATCCTGTGTGCTTATAAAACAGGCACATCTTTTAAAAAAAAGACTTAAAGCCACACAGACTCTCTGTCCCATATGCATTGATATGCTCCATAGGAGGAAGTGAAAGCTGGTTACAACCATGGATTCACCCTTGTATCGTCTTAATATCTTTATCAACTCTTGTATTTGACTTTTGAATAAACATTCATTTATTTATCTTTACCTGCTGCATCCAGTCCTGTGTCCCTTTGGTTGTTTCTTGATGCCAAATGTTATGCGCAGAATCAGTGAGAGCCACAGCGCACACTCTGTTCTTCACCTGCATTTCCCTTTGATTCATCTGGAAAATAAAAGCAAATTAAGCCTGTAAGTCAATTCAAGCTTATCTGTCATCTATTATGTTATACAGGACGTTTAAATTGCTCACAGCTCAGACTCTACTTTGTAAGAACAAAAAAGACTATAAAAAACTGAACAAAAGAAAACATAAAACACAGAATCCCCAGAAAAATATGGATATGAATACAAATATCTGAATACAGCTTTTTCACTTCTGACTCCCAGTAGACCGTGAACTGTCAGCCCACTTCTTAGACCATGGTAGCTTTTAAGCTAAAGGATACAGATTCAGCCTGGTGTATAGCATAATGTTAAAGAGGGATATATGAAAGAACACAGTTCCAATATAGCGTGTCCTTGTCACGTTCTGTGCAAATGTCTCTCCCTTTGCACATTAAAATACCCTTGTCCCCAGTCTTAATACCCTTTACCTTCACATGTCACAAAGAAAGTGACGCTCACAAGCCCGTCTTCCTATTCCCCTCTGAATGTCAACGCTGAGGAAAATGTCACACAAAGGACTTGTTACCACAGTACAATAGACGTCCCACACCGCTGCTCCGACCCCAAGGAGTACTGTAGCCAGGTCTGGGGAACAAGCTTTTTCCCTTTGCCTGGTTTTAAGATAAAACAGCAAGAAAGGGGAACAGGGTGGGCAACAATAAGATGCTGTACAGTTCTAGAAAAACTGATCAAGATTGGTTTAGATGTGATAGAGGTTTTGAGAATAGGACCAGATTTTTCAAAAAGATTGGTCAACACCCACATACTATAAAGGGTTATTGTCTGTGTCATTTATGAAAGCGGAAAAAAACATGTTAATTGGACCTTTATTGCCATTCTCTTCTCGGGTTTATAGCTACACAAAAAGGGCAAACTGAACCACCTTTGTAGATTGGAGTAGTGCAGAGAGCTTTGGTCTTAAGTCGTTAGTCAAATAGAAACTGAAAAACATTTTTTGGGGTGCATTTCATATGATGCAAACATGTTTTGCACTAAAGAACAGATTGCAGATTAGAGGCTTACTTTCATCAGTGTTTAGAAAATATGCAAGGAATTGGTTTTTGAATCAAAATGTACTTCTATATGAATTTTTTTGGCTTCTAAGAAACTCAATTACACATCCACACTACCAGAAAACTACCTTCTCTCGAAGCAGAGCTAAAGCAGCACCGACTATTTGACTCACCCACTTCACTTCAAATGGTGCGACTTGCTAAAAGAAAAAAGCAGTTTTCAGAGACACCGCTCAGAAATGTCACTTTGGTAAATTTACTTTGTAACTGTGGCCATAACACTTTAAATCATATTCAAAAATGATGCATTAGATAACAATTTGTTTGAATTTTGCAAAAAATATAACCTGCAGTTTGAGCTTTAAATTTAGATCTAAATAATGATTTGGAATACCAGATATGAATGCAACATAATTTAACACTGATCAATAGAAGTTTAGGAAGATTCCTTTTTTTCTTTAATCCATGACTTAAAATAAAACATAATTAGATATGATTTATATTGCGAACAAAAAGTGAACAAAGCAATAAAAACTACCTTTTCAAGACTGACAAAAAAAAAACAGTAACCAAACTGAATCAAGATGTCTGCAGAAATCTATTAATCTACAGAAAATAATGAATAAAGTCTTAGTTATGCTTGATGCACATAGGTTCAATGTGGAAAATAACATGTGTGGAAACAACTTCTGCATCTTTATCTTATCAGGACGTAGATGCTTCCCCCTAAAAAAAGACAGCTTTTACATAGGAAACAAAAGTCAGAGATTCAAACTTTGCTGAGAGTCTCTGATGCCCAAGCCAAAGAAAGTAGACAGCAGGAAAAAAAAACAGTCTTTTTAATATGCATCTCCATTAACCTGAGATCTATTCGATTAGACCCCAAGTCTCTGGTCGCTGGTTTCTATGAACACTTTTCAAAGGATTTGGAAATATGTCTCATTGATGCTTTTTGGTTCCTTCTTATCGTACCTTTTATGTTTTGAATAGCTTCTATAATCGTTCAAAGAATGGACTTCACCAGGCCCCTTCAGCATAAGGGGAATTTTAATGTAAGTAAGTTTTTCCCTGGTTAAATAAAAGTTGGGAAAAAATCATATAAAACCTTTTGGTACAATGCCCAGATGAAAACACAGTCAGCGGTAATAAAAATACTGGAAGCAACAGGTTCAGGAATGCTCTCAGCAGTGCGGTGCTTAACTACTGTAATCTGGACCCCTTCTGGGTCCCATGTTTTACAAGCCTGAACGACAACTGTGGTTAGTTGTACGTTGAATGCATAATCCAACTTGTAACATAAATGGTAAATCTTTAGTACCATGAAGCCACAGGCTTCCATGTGGATATGACTCTCATCTGTCCTCTCACATGACTCACTGTGTTATCCTGTAACATTGGGGTTAGACATGTGCTATTAGCCAAAAGGTTAGATGTGCTAATACCTTATGTAACTGTAGACAGCAGTTTTAACGAGAAAACAAGCCAGCTGTTGTGACCATTGCTAGGTCAGGCAGAGAAAGAAAAGCAACATAAGGAAATACCTACTGATAATAAAAACAGCACGCAGATCTGGAGATATTCTGTTGTTCCTTTTATGTTTCAACAGCTTGGTATACAGAGTAAAACTCAGGTGGGTGTTGGTCAGACAACATCTTAAATCCTTATTTTCGGAGGTAAAAATAAGGATCAGTAAAAAAGAAGTTAAAACAGAGTTGCAGGTTCACAACAAATAAAATACTAGGCTAAATAAAATGTTATTATTTTCCATTCTTTTAAAAGGAAAAATAACAGCCAGAAATGTTTCATTTCAATAAATGCTCCTGAATCACTTTTTAACGTAATTATTTTAAACACATTCTCTTGCAACAGAGTGGATTTCTTTGGCTCATAACTACACATCAATTTCAGGTTTCTATGAAGCATGAAAGCTAAGTCAAACCTAATAATGAAGAGTTGAATTCACCCAAACTCTAAACTCTGAATGAACTATGAAATCCTTGCCCTTGCTAATAAACTATTTCTTTTTTCTGATTACTCTGCAGAAGTCCTGGTTGCCAAAAAGTCCCTCCCACATGATAGATTCTGACCTCTGTGACACCAGAGATTTACAAGCTCTGCAAAAACATTACTGTAAATGCCAAAATAAAGCAACACAAATGCACTTTACCTCAAAGCAGGTACTTTACAGCTGACTTTTCACATATAGATGTATAGTATTGATAATATGCAAATGATGCACATTGTTAAAACCACAAAATTAAACATATTCAACTAAAAACGTACAGGTATGTGATAGAGAAACAAAAAAGTGACAGCTGATTGAAAAGTGAGAAAAAAGCTAAACATCCGTCCTAACCCCTAAATCTAGGGCTGCAACTAATGATTATTTTACTCATTGATTAATCTAGTCGATTATTTTTTTAATTAAATGATTATTAATCAGATAGCCAAAGGATCCTTAACAAAGATTTTATATGAAATTAAACCAGGTGAAACTAAATGTTTATACATATTTTTTTTACAATTTGGATATAATAGCTGCTCTAAGTTAAAGGCATATTTTAGAGATGCTTTGTGAGGAGAGCTCTCCTTGCAAAGCATCATGGGACACATCTGCTCATCTAGTGACCATGGATGATCACTACTTTTCAAGGTGCACAAAGGGAAAGTTTGACTTCACTACTTTGTCATCCACTAGATGTTCGGATGCTCATTTAAAATAGTGTAACCACTATATAGTGCCCTATATAGTGATCAGGGTGGACATTCGGCCACAGACTCCTAAACCGTTAACGAATAACAATAATTAAAGTGTGTCATTCATTTTCATTCAGCTTGATTTTTATACATTGTAATACAATGCACAATGACCAGCTGCATACAGAAGTCACAAATAAGTGAAATAGTTCACTTGGCGCAGTTTACTCTCAGTATAATTACATCTGTTCTGTGATCGCCTCAAAGCTTTACTAGACAACATTAATGAAGACTAAGTCACACAGTTGACAGGTCAGAGATAAGGCTTTAGAAAAGTTTATCCGCTTCGAACATCACATGAACCATTGTTGGGAACATCAACCAAAAACGAAGAGTGGCACAACTGCAAAACTACAAAGGAAAGGCTATCCACATAAGCTGCCAAGAAAACTGTTATGAATAAAGAAAATAAGAAAACCCACAGCAACTGGGCAGTTCAGGTGTTTTTTTTGTTTGTTTTTTTTTAAGAGAGAGAGAGAGAGAGAGAGAGAGAGAGAGAGAGAATTATGCTTGCATAAATCTGGCTTTTAGGAGACAGCAAGTATGTGGAGGAATACGCTTTGGTCAAACCTAACTTTTATACACTCTAGCAAATAAGCAATCGCTATATAATGTGGTGCTATATTAATACACTGGAAAGGAGTTTTTGCATTACAAAAAGAAAGACAGATTGTGGTTATAACTTGACAATTTTTTAAAGAATCCTATGTGCATTTTTGCTTTTGCAAGCTTAGATAGAAATGGTGTTTATCTATGGGGGGAAGTTGCCGAAATAAGTAACAAGACATCATTTAGCAGCACGCTAAACTAATTTCAAGTTGAGATAAATACTTAATTTCTCTCCTCTCACTGTGATACTCCCCTGCTCATGACTGCTCCACTGTGGCTACATCTAAACACTAGTAAAAAATAAAGACAATTATTTAAGCCTTTGATTATTACATGTCAAAGGCAGCAAAAGCCACTAGATAATTGGACAAAAAATGAATAGCAATCCACAATGGAGTTCCCTGCAGGGAGACAAGCACACTCATTCCTAGAAAGAATGCTGTGTGAGAGAAAAGAGAAATACAGGCAAAGACGGGGAGATGAGAGCTCTTTAAGGGGCCTTGCTTACTGTCAAATAGTCACTGTGAAAAGCCATAATTATACACAGAGCAAGTGCAAATAGAGAGGTGCAGAAATGAAAAAAAAGAGAGAAGGAATGACAGAAAGAAAATATTCTTAG